CCAGCTGGGATATCTTTAATCAAATGTTTGTTTCTGAACAATCCATTTACTGTATAGCAAAAGACATGGCATATTGGAGTGAACAGAACAATGTATATTTATGAATCCACTTAACAGAAGATCATTCCTATCTCTCAGCTCTTTTGTGTTATTCTCCTAATAGTTCTTTGTGGGAATCTTGCAGACTCAGCTGTGGAGAAATCACATTCTTCTCTGCATTGTGATATGCTTGTATGTTAGTGTGATTAAATTTGAATCTTAAATACTAAGCAATTAGTTGTCTCTTAGATGAACTGAGTGATAGCTTGTATAAACAAGGAGCCCCAGTATTGTCACTCAGTATATTGGAAAGAAAGTTTGGCAGATAAACAAAAACAAGCACGAACACAAAAACAAGAATAGACATAGAAATTTAAATAGAGAGTTGAAATAAAATTCCCTCTCTTGGAAGAAAATGATTTAGGGCTAATCTATATGTTCTATTAAATTTCTAGCGTGTAGATGATCCACACTTTTTTTACCTTCAATTAAATTAAGATCAGATACAGCAGAGGCAGGTAAAGAAAATATAACTCTTTACCACCCAGCTGCTTCCTTGGATGGTAAAAATGGGGGGGGGGGCCTCTACTGCATATATTAAAAGTAGCATGTTATTTAGCCCTAAAAAGGAACTAATAACTCATGGTATAACCACAGTGTTATTACCAAGCTATAACACTTGTGGTTATAGCTTGGTAATCCTATTACCAGGACATAACCACAGTGATTGTAGTCAGACTTACTTATAAGTAAACTTCTATGTGATTGCACTGTTAATAACTGATGCCTAGCAATTGCTTTAATTTGAATCACTGGAAACATTTTCTTCAGTTATATTTGCATTATCAGGCATTTCCCTTTTTGTCCTTCAGAAACTGCAAAAACAGCCTTTCCCCACCAGATTAGCCCTGCAAGCTTCCCTCAATGAGCTCCCTACATGCCAGAATCGGGGTCTGGTGTGCAGTGTCCCGCATTGCCACCCCACTCCCAGTGCCTCCACTGCTTCCACTGGTGTTTCATGAATCAACCCCAGAAAAGGGCAGAAGTGGCTGTCTCTGGAAAAGGGGGAAGCACCCCACTGACCGGCCCCATTCTGGAAGGAAGCCTTCAAACTTCGTTCCATGTTTCTTAGCCTCAGATTCCTGTTGCACTAGCTGTGGATGCTGCCCATTTTCTGTGCCTGCAGTACTGATGTTCTTGATTTCCTCAAAGTCCTAAAAAATAGCACAGATAGCCATGCACCATTTAAGCATGGTTATTAATTTAATTTGAGTTTGAGAGTAAGCACTTGATTCCACCAAATTACACACTTAAAATAGCAATTCCAGTTGAATTCTGTGATGCATGCAGAATATGGCTGCTGTTGGGGGTGGCATCCTCTGCTGGCCCAGCTCATGTTCTGCAAGTCATTTTATAATGAAAGACTTGAGACTCAGGCACAGGGGGACTATTAAAGAGCATCCGGGGTGATTATGATGCGTAACCTGGGACCAGGGCAACTCTTTTTTTAAACGTTTTTTAATTGTTATATTATTATTATTTATGTATGTTTTTATGTATTCTTTGTGAGCCACCCTGAGGCTTTGTTGCGATGGGGGTGGCATAGAAATGTTATAAATAGATAGATAGATAGATAGATAGATAGATAGATAGATAGATAGATCAGAGAGACACTGGGCTGGGTGTTTCATTGGTGTTTCACAGTTGATGAAATACAAAGCACCCATTATGCATTGGGAAACTGTGATGAAGAAAGAAAGAATCCCTAAAATAAGAAAACCAGCCAACTTTAGTGGCTTCACTTCTTAAAATCAAGTGCAGATCTTCAGCTGAATTGGTGTAGAAAGTTACAGCCAAATCTATTTGCAGACCTCAGCCTTCCTCACCTCTCCAGCTCCGGTGTATGTACACCATTGCTTTTCCCTTACCCAGTTTCCCCTTACACACTCTTCTCATTCATCTTGTCCAACTCTCCTGTTCTAGACACCAAAGTTACTCTTAGCTGCCCTCTCCAGGGGCTCCTTCTTTCCCTTGGTCCTTCTGCCCACCCTACTTTTCTCTAAAAATCTGAAGACCTCACTTAGCAGCAAGCAGAGGTTCATTCACCTGTTACAAAAGCTCAGCCAGTCTCTCCCAGAGACTTCATCTGCTTCATAAATCACCATCACCTCCAGAAAAACCCCTTAAAGTGCAGTCCCACACATGTTTAGATAGAAAACGCTGGCTGAGGAATGTTGGGAATTCTAGGGCTTTTTTCTGTCTAAACATGCATAGGATCACACCTTTACTTCATTAACAGACTGGATATTTAAAGCTGTCCTCATCTGTCTGTCAAATCTGTGTCTTTCAGTGAATTACATAAAGGTTAATTGTGGCAATTTATCTCCTAGTCTGCCTGTGTAATAGGCAACAGGTTGAGCAATCCTATATTGGGGACGGGGTGGGAAGGGAACATCGCCTGCTGTTTCATGTATGCTCAGCTAGGTGGAGAAGGGGAGACACACACACAAACCCCAAATCCCTGAGTGGTGTAAAAATGGTGAGCACACTCCCAGCCTCCCTAGAAACGAAAATGGGGCTGGGATTGTGCTGGCAAGGGTGCCCACATATCCCTGCCCCACACAGAAAGGGAACCAGTGAACTCAAGTTGATGAGGACAGCCCTGCATCACCATAGTGCCTCCAACCTTTTAGCCTCTGTGACACAACCTACAAGGGTCTCACTACTGCAAGTTCCCTGATGGAACTTGAATCCCCCTGATGCTTCTCACAAGCATCTTTTACAGCAGAATACACGGAGGGAGGGAGGAGAGTCCAATCAACACGGCAGCTTTGAGCCGGCATGAAAAAAGCCCATATGGTCCTCTTTAAGGCAAGAGTTCAATCCACCCAAGGAGGAAAAGATTCTTTTTGCCAAGCAACTGCAAGGGACTTGGAGGTACAAGAAGAATGGCCACAGACTGCAGCAGCCTTCAGTTGCTCACTGAAAATGATTTGAAGCTGGAAGATGGGATCAATCAGGACTTCAAGTCAGGGAGTGGCCTTCACCAACCCCCTCTTTATTCTTCTTTAAAAAGGAACTACATATTGTGCAGACCCACATGGAAGTATGGTAGCATGCCAAACAGGACAAGCAATGCAGTGAAAATAGTACCAGTATGTTATGGTAATGAGAACGCTAGATCATGGGACTTGTATATTTATCTAGATCAGCCTTTTCCAATGCCCTCCAGATATTTCAGACCACAATGCCCAGCGTTCCTGACCATGGGTCCTGCTGGATGGGGCTGATCAGAAGTGAAGCCTGAAACATCTGGAGGGTCCCAGGTTGCAAAAGGCTATCCTACATGGTCATAATTTGCACCTTTTCCCACTGATTGACCCTTACACTTGGAATTGTTTTCCAGAGAAGATGCTCCTTCTATTTCTTTCTTCAAGTCCTTTCACCCGCAAGCTTGCATTTCTATGCTTCAGAAATTCTATCTGTAATCATGGCACTTCCAGCCTGGGCTTTTTTCCCATTGTCTAGCTCAGCCTTCTCTGCCTGTCCCTCTACATGAGTTGGACCAGTACTCCCCAGCCAGTTATGGAAGCTGCCTCTGCGGATGCCAGACTGGAGAAGGCTGCTCCAACCATTCCATTTTTTGTAGATTAGGGCAGATGTTTATATTCATTTGTTGTCCATGTGCCATTCTTACAGCTAGAACAAAGGTCAGAATTCTACATGTTTACAAGAAAGTAAGACAGCAATCTTATACGCACCCAAGAATGTGTTTCATTTAATTCTATGGGCTAACAGAAGTAGACATGTACAGGACTTCACTGAAAGTCAATTAAACTCAGTGATTCATTATTTCATAAACATGTGTAAGCTCAGTGCAAAACGTACACTGGCACTTGTATTTCTCCAAAACAGAGTGAGTTCAGATGACCTGAAGAACAATGGTCAAGCATGTTCTAAAATGGTACAGATCAGAAAGTATTTAAGCTTCAAGGGCAATTACTTCCATGAGTATATGTAGTTATTGCCATCCACATAAATAAGTTATTGCCATTATCATGGGATCCTTGGGAGTGCTGCTGTCACTATCAAGCTCTTTTGTAGCTAGAATAGCTTTAAAGTAGAGTTACAAACTAGAAAGTTCCTAAAGTGTCCCTTAGCACCACCTACAGCATGTCACTTCCATGTCAGAATCACATCAGTAACTAAAGAGGCAGAAGGAGAGGAATGTTGCCAAGTCATTTGGTTTCTATAACCCGCAATGATTTGGTTTGCATGATAGGAGGGTGTATAAGAAGTCACTCTTTCCTATGCCACATGAATTCCCTAATTGCCTTCACAGGTTAGAGCTTACTATTAAAATAAAATAGATTTGACAAATCCATTTGCTCATCCTGGTTCCATTGTCTGTGTAGTTGTGTAACAGGAAGGGATCAAGTTCAAGTTTTACCAACCTGCAATGATGGGTAAAGTTGTTCCTGATTTTCTGCTTGTCATTTAGCCTGGAAGCCCCTTGCCAGCAGCCCAGATTCACTGAGACCTTGCCCAGGAAAGACCTTGAACACATGTGGAATTTCATGTTTAAAGGCCCAGGACCAATGGCAGGAAACCAAAAGCTTGCAACCTCTGAAAAAGTGCAAAGCATAAGAATGAGATGCAGGGAGGTGAGTTGAAGGCACCAGAAAATGAAAAGGCAAATTGGTGGACTTAGGAGAAAGAGCATCAGTTGCAGATATAAGCTGTATCAAATTCTGTGGAACTGATTCTCAAATACACATGCATAGGATTATACCTATGCAGAAATACTTCTGATGAGAGTGAGAAAGAAGTGGCAGAGAGATGGTTATTGGGATAGAGAGCAGATACATTTCTTCTGGGGTTGAGTTTTGTACTTTTGACCTGAGCCCTCAGTCATTTCCTTCAGTTTCACAGGTGCAAACTAAGTTCACTGAGGTTCACTTCATCTAAGCCACCACCTTCCCTACCCTATAAATCCCTGCTCTTCAACCAGCTGTGTTCCTATGAGAGGGGTGGCTTCTTGGAAGTGTTTGCTCTGTAGCTGCTGCAGCCATGGGGCTGGGCTGCAGTGGCTTTGTGGGTTTAGGGCTCTTGATAATTGCGGGGCTATGCTATGGGCAGGGTGACTTCAGGAGAGTTGGCTCCTTAGGCCTGCAGTATCAGTACAGCTGTGGAGAGTACAGCATGCAGCTGATGGTATTTCCTAGCCCAGGCAGAGAGGTCCGCTTTAAATTACTGGGTAAGGGAATTGTTTTCCCCTTCTTGAAGTAATGCTTGATAAGTTTGGTTATTTGTTAAAATGGGTTTGTGACTACACTATTTTTGCTCTTAATGGATTAGAAATATGCTGGGGCTCTAGAAGCTTTTGATATTGGAGCTCTTTCTTAGGCTAAGCACCCTAGCTGTTATTTCCATGGGTCCCCTGACAATGGAGAGAGGAGCCAGGAATGTCTATATCTTCCCTTTTGACTGAAGAAGCAGTGCAGAGCTGGTTCTTAGTTTCTAAACAGCAAGAACAAGTTTTCTAAGAAATAAGAACAGCTACAAACTTTCTGGAACTGTTAATTTTCTTTAAAAAAAATCTCTTCGATATGTAGGGGCAGTCTTGCTTGAACTGAGGACTCCACACTCTTTGCTCCTTTTCTCTTAGTCTTCTGCAATCTGGTGCTCTGCCTGGGGGAAATTCTAGTGCTTTAGTTCAACCCATCTGGAGGGCACCAGGTTGGGGATGGCTGCTGTTGGCACTGATGCTGCATACAGACTTGCCTTGCCAAGCTTCCTGTTGTAAGTTACAGCAGTTAAAGGCTAGTGCAGTTTTACCTTAGCATGATGTTGTATCACCGTTTATTTCATGATATTTCATGAAAGATATTTATCAGAGATGTTCAAAGCTGTGGTACTAGAGAAGTCACAGGAAGAGTTGCTGCGTTTATGTGTGTGACTAGTTGAAAGTAGTATGGGGGTGAGAACTGAAAACGATAGGGTAAAAATTCAAAACAAGCTTGCTTCTGAAACCTGGCATCTTTAAAATGCTTCTTCATGAAACTCCAAAATTCCTAATGAGGTATAATTTAGACTAGTGTTTGATTACAATGCTATGCATGTTTAATCTGACCCTAGCAGGCCCAACTTCCAAGTAAAGTATACTTATGAATTTAGGAAGGAACAGGCTTCATTCTCAGACTTCCAATTTCTTGGCCTAAGGAGGAAACCCAAATACAGAACTGCAAGTCTAATGGAGCAAGTAGTTGAGGACATCAGGAGGATGCTGGGCTGGGGAAGGATGATCTACAACTCCTATCACCCCTACTCAGCATGGCTAGTAATGTCGTGACTGCTATGGGAGATTAGGCTGCTGAAGCTGGTTCTAGCTTTATCCTTAGACTTCACAGATAGTAAATCACTGGTGTTGTTGCTACCACAACACTGAAACCACTAAGGGGCGGCATAGAAATGTAATCATCATCATCATCATCATCATCATCATCATCATCTCTAAGGCAGAATTCCCCAGGTTTTCTGACCCTGTGGGCACATTTCAGAATTGAGAAATTGCTGAGAGTGCAACCACAGAATACCTCCCCCACAAAGATATGGCTAATTGCATTTTGGCTGCCATGAGAGTTCTGCTATTCCAGGGGGGTGGGGGTGGGGGTGAAAAATAGCAAGTCAAAGTGTTAGTTGGAAAAGAAAGAGTGAGACTTGAAGATAGGAGCAGAAAAAAATGGCTAAGTAAAGAGAAGGGGGTGAATAGCAACACTGGGAAAAGAACAGCAAGATCAAGAAGTTAGTAGGAGAGAAAGGCAAGGCTAAGAAAGAGAAAGGGGGAGTGGATAGGGAAGGGGAGAGAAATATTAAGGGAAGGGGAGGGCAGAGAAAAGGAGCAAGGTTAGAGACTTGGAGAACAAGTGACTGAAGGGTAAATGTCTGAATGGAAGAGGATTGGGTGGGGCCAGGAAGTAACTTCTCGGCAGTGGCAGATTCAGGTAAAGGGTAGAAGGATCTAGTGCTCTAACATTTTCATATTAAAAAAATAAACTTTAGAAAGTGTTGAAGGGTGGAGAGTTTGCAGGCTCCATGTTGATGTCTTCTGCCCTAAGGAACACATTTGAAGAGCCTTACGAGCCTCTGCCAATGCTTTCTCTTGTTGAATATATTTGCTTGAAGTTGACTGATACTCTAAACTTTATCAACAGATGAGGATGGGATAGCCTTTGAGGTTTCAAATTGCTCCATCTGCCATCACTGGATTACATTTCATGAGAGAAATGTTGCTTTCTCTGTGGGCTACAATGGCTGTCGCGTGCTAAAGAAGGTGAGACTTGTCTCATGGTGGTAGAAGTGGAAGCTACAAATAGACTTCTGTGCTGCGATTCTGAGTAACACATTGTATGGAACTTTGAAGCAGGTTCTTCCAGGGAAGAGCTCAAGGCTGATGTACAAGAGCCATTCATGCACCCATTGCAGAAAGAGGAAGACCCATCCACATTCATGAATTGGCATGTATGTCTGCAGTGAAAAACCCATATGTGGAGAATCCCATGTTGAAAAACTTGCTCATGCCTACATGAAGAGGTGACAGAGAATCCATTCCCCCTGTAAGAGACATTCAGGTGAAGGAATAACTGGCCCAGGACTACCTGGTGTGAGCTTCAAGGCTGAGCAAGGATTTGGACTGGGATCTCTGCATTCTCCTATAAGTGCCAGCTACCAACTGTGTTCCAGGTATGACATAGATTACAAGCCTAAATACTGGAAAGTCTTTGTACAGAATAGATAGGCCTAACTAGTCTGTTTTGCTGCTTCCAATCTTTGTTTACTAGCTTTGCCAATAGGATTGCAGAACACTTGCTAAGGAGTTGGTAGTATGCACAGTATAGGTATTGGGAATGGTGGATTTTCTGGCAATAGAGAGAGACTATCCTAAGAAACAGGATATTGGCCTACTAATATAACAAAAGCTTGTTACCAGAAAAACCTGACTCATTCTGTAAAAAGTCCAATTACCCAAGTTAGGAACAAGTAATATCACTACCAAAACAAGATCCAAAGGATAATGGTAGAGTTATGACAACACTTTATTAGGGATGCCGCAGCCTTTCACTAGGTAGAAGCCCTTTTCTCACAACGCATAGCTGTCTTAGAAGCTTATAGTTATGCTCTAAAATTCCAGTTCAATGTCTTTACAGGATGGAAGGATGCATCTGAAAGTCCATCTGGAGGAATTAACAAGCAACAGAATCACGGATGCCCGTGACATCAACATGATCTGCCCCAAACCACAAGAACATCTTTTGAAACCAGAGGACAACCTGCCTTATGTACCACATCCTGGCCCGGCAAGCCTGACCCAGCCCCCTCAGCATGGCCGAGTACGTCCACTCAGACCACAGGCCAAGGCCACACAGCCCAGCCTGATGCATCCACTTCAGCCCCAGCCCAGCCTGGTGCGCCCACCGCAGTCTGGCCTGGTGCGCCCACTCCAGCCTCAACCACAACAACCACAACCCGGACTGGTGCGTCCATCCCAGCCTGAGCCCCCAAAACCTAGCCTGGAGCGCCTGCTCCAGCCTCAACCACAACCTGGCCTGGAACTCCCGCCACAGCCCGGCCTAGTGCGCCCACTCCAGCCACAGCCTGGCCTGGTGTGCCCATTCCATCCCCAGCCCTCGAAACCTGGCCTGGTACGCCCCTCGCAGCCTCAGCCCCCAAGGTCTGGCCTGGAGTGCCTACTGCAGCCCCAGCCTCAACCGCAACCCGGCCTGGTGCGCCCGCCCCAGCCTCAACCGCAACCCGGCCTGGTGCGCCCGCCCCAGCCTCAACCGCAACCCGGCCTGGTGCGCCTGCCCCAGCCCCAGCCCCCAAAGCCTGGCCTGGAGTACCCACCGCAGCCCCAGCCGGGCCTGGTGCGCCCGCCCCAGCCTCAACCACAACCCGGCCTGGTGCGCCCGCCCCAGCCTCAACCACAACCCGGCCTGGTGCGCCCCTTGCAGCCCCAGCCCCCAAAGCCTGGCCTGGAGCACCCACTGCAGCCCCAGCCGGGCCTGGTGCGCCCACTCCAGCCTCAACCACAACCGGGCCTGGTGCGCCCACTCCAGCCTCAACCACAACCTGGCCTTGTGCGCCCCCTGCAGCCTCAGCCGGGTTTGGTGCGCCCACTCCAGCCTCAACCACAACCCGGCCTGGAAAGCCCACTGCAGCCGCAGCCTGGTCTAGTGCGCCCACCGCAGCCTGGCCTGGAGCGCCCACTCCAGCCTCAACCACAACCGGGCCTGGTGCGCCCACTCCAGCCTCAACCACAACCCGGCCTGGTGCGCCCCCTGCAGCCCCAGCCGGGCTTGGTGCACCCATCCCAGCCTCAACCACAACCCGGCCTGGAGCGCCCACTCCAGCCTCAACCACAACCCGGCCTGGTGCGCCCCCTGCAGCCCCAGCCGGGCTTGGTGCACCCATCCCAGCCTGAGCCCCTGAAGCCTGGCTTCGAGCGCCCGTTGCTCCCACAACCTGGTATAGTGCACCCCCTGCAACCACAGCCTGGCCTGGAGCATCCACTGCAGCCCCAGCCACAACCCAGCCTGGTGCGCCTTCTGCAGCCCCAACCACAGGCACCACAACCCAGCCTGGTGCGCCCATCCCAGCCCACGTCCCCGAAGCCTGGACTGGAGCGGCCACTGCAGCCACAACCCGGTATAGTGCGCCCCCTGCAGCCCCAACCGCAGCCTGGCCTGGTGCGCCCCGTCCAGCCCCAGCCGCAGCCGCAGCCACCGCAGCCTGGCCTGGTGCGCCCCGTCCAGCCCCAGCCGCAGCCACCGCAGCCTGGCCTGGTGCGCCCCGTCCAGCCGCAGCCACCGCAGCCTGGCCTGGTGCGCCCCGTCCAGCCCCAGCCGCAGCCACCGCAGCCTGGCCTGGTGCGCCCCGTCCAGCCGCAGCCACCGCAGCCTGGCCTGGTGCGCCCCGTCCAGCCGCAGCCACAGCCACCGCAGCCTGGCCTGGTGCGCCCCGTCCAGCCGCAGCCACAGCCACCGCAGCCTGGCCTGGTGCGCCCCGTCCAGCCGCAGCCGCAGCCACCGCAGCCTGGCCTGGTGCGCCCCGTCCAGCCGCAGCCGCAGCCACCGCAGCCTGGCCTGGTGCGCCCCCTCCAGCCGCAGCCGCAGCCACCGCAGCCTGGCCTGGTGCGCCCCGTCCAGCCGCAGCCACCGCAGCCTGGCCTGGTGCGCCCCGTCCAGCCGCAGCCACCGCAGCCTGGCCTAGAGCGGCCACTGCAGCCACAACCTGGCCTGGTGCACCCACTCCAGCCAGGTTTAGTACATCCAGTGCCACCACAGCCTGGCTTAGTACAGCCAGCACGCACCATAGGTATGCAACCAATTTTTAAGTATTAATACATAGTGATGCCAGTATCTCAGTCATGCAAAGATCTTTCTCATTATCTTTGGGTTTTGCACTTATGTGTATTTTCTTTGCTGTTAATTTTATTTGTATACTGCCTAATTGCCAAATGCTCTGGGTAGTGTACAACAACTGATAAAATACAGTGAAGTGTTGAAGTGGTTTTTATGTAAAGAATATAGGATGATGTACAAGAATATTCTGGAATGTATTGATATATAACAGCTGCTCAGCATAAAGCTTGGGCAACTCTTACCTGCTTCAAACGTTCTAGCACTGAGTACAAATTCCTCTTGCATGTTCAAGCTGTCAGAGAAATATGATCTTTGAAAGGGGTGGGCATATTTTTACTTGGCCCTGGACCTGCCTGCACTGCTCAGTGTTGCAGTTGAAGTTCTGAGGTCTTGAGTGTTTTGAATGTGCAGAAGATTTCTCTGCAGATAAGAACTTCGCACAAACATGATCCCAATCCATGCAGTTATAATCATGTAGACCATAATACTTGCAGAGGTCTATGGGGTAGTGATGTTCAGGATTCTGTGTACCTTTATAGGCCAGAGAATGGGTTTTAATGATGCTAGATAAAGAGTGTGTCCTCTTCTGCCAATGAATAACTATTAGCCGAAATGTGAACTTGTAAAGTTCTTTTGGTCTGGTGGTGGGGAACATATGGCTCTCCAGTTGATGCTGGACAGCAAGTCCCATCAGTCCTGGCCAATAAATGATGTGAGTTGCAGTGCCATGTCTAGAGGGCCACACATTGTGGGTCTCTGTTCTTAGCAGGAGAAACTGTATGAGGATATGCTGCTGCCTCCTGATAATGCCAGCTCCCTTCTCTTGCACTCCCAGGTTCCTCTCTAACACTGGAGCAATGCCAGGTTTCTTCTGGAAAGATCCCCTGTGTGAGTGCAGAAGGACCAGCTGCCTGCTATCATACTGGATGTTGCTATGATGAAAGGGACCAAATGATTCCATGTTATTATGGCAACACAGGTAAAGAGTGAAATGGTTCAGCTCCTTAGGGTGTTCCACTGGCTTTCCTGCTTCCCGTTGGTAAATGAGGCCAGTATCCAGTCATTGCCATGATTTATTTTACTAAGAGAGAAAGCTGTTTCCTATATGAAGCACATCAACTAGTAACTTCCTGGCTTAACCAAGATTGACCATGCCCTTCTCATACCCTTTGCAACCTTTTGTCAATTACACAGAAATCTATATAATACAGGCATGATTGGTTAGCTTTGCATTCTGGGGAGCAAGAGCAAACTTCAGGTTTTTTGCAGTGCTTGGCTTTTGAGCAAATCAGCTGCTCGTCTTTCGGGTGCATGATATCTGGTGGTAGATACTACTGGTTGCTTTCCCCAGTATCATTGCTTCAGAGGCCCCATAGATAAGCTTCCTACCACTCTGGCTCAATATGCTTGGCACAAGGCATTTTGGGACTCTGGTGCTCTGATCACTGGCAGTCCAAATTCAGTAGGACCTCAGTCTTCTGCATGCATCACAACCCTAAATAGTAAGTATAAGATAAATCCTGACACTGCTGTATTACAACGTATAGCAGCTGTTTCAAGAGCCTTACTAGGAAGCTGGGGTAGAAATGGCAGACCTTTCCACTCCACCCCTTTCAGAATACTGAACTGGCCATGTCTAAGATAATTATAACTTCTTATTGCAATGGGACTGGCTTTGCATGCTAAAAATAAAATACTGTTGAATAAGATCTTGGAGGCTTTCAAACCAGAGCTGCTTCAGAAGCTGATTTGTGATTGCTTAGTAAGAGAAAAAAGTAGGTGTTTTTGTATGCAGTAGTGAGGTCCTGCAGTATCCTTGGATGCACCTTAGAACATGGGATTCCTGACAGACATGTTTGTGGATATAAAGTGATTCTGAAGATACTGAAAATTGCTAATGACATTCCATGACAAATATCAAAAGAATGTTTTATGTAACAGTTCACAGTGGAGAACTTTGTGCAATGAAAAGTTAAAACTTTGTCTCATACTGCAGGTGAAGAATTTCCTCCAACTGCCCTCTAACGATTGGGTTGCTTTCTCTAACTAGAAATAATACTTTGTTCCTTAATGGGCTGATTCATACAGATGAGTCCTGTTCTGTATACTCTCTGTAATAGGAGCTGTGTGCCTTCAGAGAGAGGGATAGAATGAAAAACTGCCCCATGAACAGACAGTTAAGATTGGAGAGTGAGGCTGGGGAGCAGCAGGATGGAACATGAGGTCACCAAACTTCCCTCTATCTTACCTCTGCACAAAAATAAGGGTTCCTGGATCCTGGACTAGATGGCACTCTTTGGTTTGTAACCCTGGTGTTCTGCTTGTGCCTTGTAGCTACTGTTCAGTGCCTTCAGGATGGTTACTTCATCTTGGCTGTCTCCAGGGATATGTTGGACTACCCCATCATCCTGGACAGTGTTAAGCTCTCCTATGCTCAAGGAAGATGTGACCCTGTCAGGAAAACAGAGTCTTTCCTGCTGTTCCGCTTCCCCCTCACACAGTGTGGAACAACTGTCCAGGTGAGGATCTAGCCTACAGAGGGGCTTGTTTGTTTACATGGACCTTGAGACAACCTTTTTGATGATCAACAAACCAGATAAACATGCACGTGTGGTGCTTTCTTAGGTGACAGGTGGCAGACTGATATATGAAAACCAGCTAGTTTCAGGCATTGACATCTTAAGTGGACCAGATGGCTTTATCACCCGAGACAGCACCTTCATGTAAGTGGAGCTCAGCTGGATATTGATGTGATGGTTGCCCTCTGGTTTTATGGAATGACCAGTTATCCTTGATGAGGGTTATCCTATTGCTATAGTAGCACTGAATTGAATGTTGCCAATCTTTCCTACTGGACTAGATTTTGCTATAACAAGCCTGCTGGCTGAGGCTGATGGAAGAGCCAGATGTTGTGCAGGAAAGCTGCTATGGGCTTTTGAATTGCATCAGTATATATGTTTTTGACCTGTGAAACTGGCCTTGAAAAGAGGAGAAAGACCTCTAGAGGAAGAATCACCTGCCCCTGAGTGTGGCTGGAATAAACACTTGAGGCTGCTGTTAGACTTTCATAAGTGGACATATGTCCTATTTGCTGTGAAAGGTATAACAGAGCAACGTTAAGTGGCTGAGGTCCTAGTTCTGCAAAATGAGATGCCTGGCTGGCTGTTCAGAAAAGCATCAGGCTTATAAATAAAGCTAAAGAGTACATCAAGGTTCTGCATCATTCCTCTCCTCCCTCTGTAGCCTCCATGCTCGCTGCATCTACAATGCCACTGACTTCCTGCCAGTTCAGGGTGAAGTATTCTCTGCACCCACCCCAGCTCCAGTTATCCAGGTGGGACCTCTCCGGCTTGAGCTGCGTATTGCTACAGGTAGGTACATCCCCCCTCCTCTTCCTGCTGTCTCAGCCCCTTTTGCTGAAGAGCCCAACAGCTGATCCTCTTGTTTTACTACGTCTCTGTAGACTCCACATACAGATCCTACTACTCAGATTACCCTGTGGTGAAGGTACTGCGGGAGCCAGTGCATGTGGAGGTCCGCATCCTGCAGAGAATGGATCCATCCCTGGTTCTTGTTCTGCATGAGTGCTGGGCTACTCCGAGCACCAATCCCCTTGAGCAGCTGCAGTGGCCAATCCTGGCAGCTGGGTGAGTAAGTTGAAGGGAAGCTGCTGATTTGCTCTGGGTGGTTGGTTGGTGTCCGCTGCTTGAATGGCAGTGCCTCTTCTCTCCAGGTGCCCATTCAAAGGAGACAACTACAGAACCCAGCTGGTGCCCATGGGGCCTGCCACATCTGAGGTGTCCTTTCCAAACCACTACCAGCGCTTCATCATCTCCACCTTCACGTTTGTGGATTCAGCTCCTCGGATGGTACTTGATGGCTTGGTAAGAATACAAAAAAATTATTACTGTAATTCAGGCAGAGCAATAAAATGTCCTCCTTTTGAATGAGGAAAAAAATTATCCTGTGTGCTACTAAATTGGATATGAGAAACCTAATAGCCATTTCTTTTGGGAAAGCGTTTGTTGACTTTGTCTTAATATGTCTTGACCCCATACAGTGTCAAGATGTTGTAATAAAGAGAATTTTCTCCAGGGAAGTTAGGTTTTAAAGCTGGGAGTCCTGGAGAGAGTAGGTTATTTCCCATTGAATTGATTCAGTTTGAAAATATTTTTATAGCTCTTACTACAATGAAAACGTTATATCCAGTAGACTTCTCTTGGTTATTTCACATGCATTCTGTATTCAAATTTTATTATAAGCAGTATATAGTACTAAAAGTAAACACATTTCTATATTAGTCCCCAGTGTTTTTGAACACTTAGCACATTTGGAATTTTGAGACTGTTATGGGTGTTCTCCCTGAACATGGACAGCAGAATTGAGAGTTCAGGTGAGCAATGCTTCCAGAAGGCCAGATGTGCTCACTAGTCCAGTATCCTAGCAGGGTTACCCAAGGCAGAATGGTTCAAGCTGAAACACTAGATTAAGATGCATCAACCCTGTTGCAAGCTGAGGTTCCTCCTTCAAGTACTCAAGAGCCACAAATAATTTTCCTTGCAAAACATTATTTTTTGCTTCCAAGTACAAATCACTCAGAATGACATGAGCATGTGCAGAGCAGTTCTGGAACCCAATCTAGCGTTTACCTCCAGGAACGTTCCTTATGTACACGCCTGGGCCCCCATCCCTTTGGGAGCAGCTTTTTGAATGCAAGTATGCCTCTTTTCTGCACACTGCTCATTCAGTTGGTCCTTCTGCCTCTGCCAATGCTTTGCCATGGGGTTGAGAGCAGGAGGAGGCTGGTCTGTGTCTGAGAATCCCTCATTCTCAGAGGCCCCTCCCATTGTACATTGTGATTGTTCCCAGAAACTGCCTGGCTTGGCAAAGTGTCTGGCCTTGAGAGAATCACCTCTGTTTCCCCCATCTCAGAATTTTGACATAACCCATCCTCCCCAATCCCATTGTAATTTGTTTCACATTTCAACTCCAAGTTGTCTGCGATGCAGTCAGTTGGCCGAAAGGGCCAACCTTCCCACTCTCAACATCCCTCTTCAGAAATAACAGTCAAATCAACAGAAGAGCATGGATATCTGTAGTGGTGACAGAGCCAGAGCAAGTTATGAAGAGAAGCCACTGGGCGGTAGTGGTAGCTGAAGGCAACACTGGCAGAAGATGTCTTATAGGTATTTCTTACCTTGAAAACCTTATGCTGCAACAATCCAAAATGAAACAACAGATTGTGCCAGTAGATAAGACTTCCAGGTTGGAACACATTCAGTCATCAACTGAGGAAGAGCAAAGAAGAGTTACAAATTTATTTATTTATTTATTTATAAAACCTCAACCAACAGTCCCAAATGAGATTCTCTTGGATGGTTGCTAATAGTGCTGTCCCTAATGAAACAATGAGATCAATGCTGCAAGAGTCTAATGGCTGACATAAGAAAGGCCATACTGGATCAGACCAGAGATCTCTACTGTCCAGCACACCCGTTCACATTGGCAAACCTGCTGTCTCAGCACTTGATCATCCTGGTGCATAACTTGTATCATGGAAAAGAAGTGATTGTTCGGATAAAATATGGAGAAATGGAATAGTTTCTTACAGGCAAAGGATGCATTTATTCCCATCTATTCCATCTGAACACAGAACATAGAAGGAAATCTGGAATTAGAATCAGAGTAAGAAAGAATGAAAAATTGGTGGGAGATGCCTCAATGTAAGATATGCAGATGATCCCATATTACTGGCAGAATGCAGCACCAAATTGAAATGACTTCTGATCTAAAGTGAAAGAAGAAAATGCAAAAGCAGGACTGCAGCTGAACATTAAGAAAACAACAGAAGAATCATACATCTTTAATGTCAACAATGAAGAAACGGAAACTGTGAAAGATTTTGCATAGCATGGCTTAGTTGTCAATTCAAATAGAGACTGCAGCAAAGAAATGTGAAGAAGACAGACTTGGAAGGGCAGCAGTGAAGGAACTAGAAAAGGTCATCAAGTGTAAGAACTTTTCTCTGGAGACCAAGGCCAAGCTCATCCACACTACTGTATTCCTGATAACTATGTATGGCTGTGACAGCTGGACAGTGAAGAAAGCGGACAGGAAGAAAATCAGTATGTTCTAAACATGGTGCTGGAGGGAGAGCTTTGTGAATACCCTGGACTGAAAGAAAGACACAGGAGTGTTAGATCAAGTCAGAACTTGCCCTGGAAGCTAAAATGATGAAACAGACTGCTGTACTTCAGCCTCATCATGAGAAGGCAAGACCCACTGGAGAAGACAATCAGGCTGATTAAAATCAAGGGCAGAAGACCAACCAGGTGATGGGTTGACTCCATAATGAAAGCCATGGACTTGAGTTTACAGGAGCTGAGCAGGGCTATCAAGGCAGGCTATTTAGGAGGGTATTTATTCAGAGGTTTGTCATATGTCAGAAACCAATCGACAGCAAGTAACAAATCAATATTTTTGTTCATTTTTGAGAGCACTATGGGTGCTTTCAAACAATGGCTGCCCCCATGGGGTGGCTTGCCTATTCAGAAAATGACAGCCGTCATGGGCATGGCCAGTCAAAAATCACCTGTTTCTAGGAAGGTAAACTTAGGAAGCCTCAAGAGAAATAACTTGCCCCCAAACACCAAAAATACACTCGTAAACCTATTTTTCGGCTCTAATACCCATTTCATAAATGGCAGTTGGAGGCTCAGACACATAATTTGGCCACATCATCCATTTCAGAGAAAGTGAACTGGCAATACCCAAAGAAAACCATGCACAAAATGCTCATCTACACCTGACATACATACACATACTTCTCTCCAGGCAAAACACAAAAATGCCCCTGGCAAAAATGTGTATAGCATAGCAAAATAGAAAATGGCTAACAGAGCACAGGCAAAACACCCCCTTGCTACCTCTTCTGTGCACCTCCCAGAAGCTCCATCTCACCATCTCCAGAATCATTTATGGGAAGCTGTGCATGCTTTAAAACAAAGGACTGGACTGCAGTTTTCTAAGCCTATGTACAATTTAGACAATTTTCTAAGAATTTTCTAAGACTATAGGCCCATCTGTTTAGAGGTAAAGGTGAAGACCTGTGCTTCTTTTTGGAGAATGCCTACCTCCTACTTAGGTTCTAGTTTTGCTTTTGTGTTTTTAATGAGGAAAATAAATTCAAGAGGAACAACGAACCCAGTCCGTGCTCTCTACAGGCTGCATATTAGGAAACCAGTGTCTAGTGTACCACCTTAGTGGATCTTGTTTGTTGCTGGAATACATTTAGAAACCTGCCTATTCAGCAAGACAGTAACAAGCTTGCACTTGATATATGCCTTAACTGAAGTCATCCTGTGTTCTTTGTCATTTAAAATCTGTGGGCTCTGAGGACTCCTAGTTAAAGTGCATTCTGCAAGACTGAGGCCGGGCCAGTCCTCTGCTAGCAGACTCAGCTAATAAAAGGCCATATCTTTTCCAGGTGTACCTCTTCTGCAGTGTGTCTGTCTGTCACCCTTCACAGCTAGAACCCTGCAGGGTCGCATGTCAAGAGCCAGTGACTGCAAGTAAGTTGGAATCAATTCACTGCCATATTCCTAAGGGGCCTTTCTGAATTCATGTAGACTGCCATGAGTATTTCTTTTACATCTGAATGATTCTTTAATGCCCATGGTTGTTGAGCATAAATAGAGCTTCATATAAATGACTTAGAAACTGGGTGTAAATGCATGGTGCTAGGAGCTAAGGAATTACAACCAGGGATGGACCAGGAAACAGTGTAAAGATGTTCCACATACACTTGGGTAAAAGCGGCTGTCAAACATTGCAACTGGACAGCCATCTGAGAGGGATGGTTTAACTGAGAGTCCTGCACTGAGCAGGAGGTTGGACCCAATGGCCTCTGGCCCCTTCCAACTCTACTATTCTATGATTTTTTTTAACGAACCTTAAGTGGAAATCCTTTTGCTTATAGGGTAGTATGCAATATTAGCCTCATGAAGAATAAACTCATTGAAAGAATGGGATTTATGAATATTGACTGACTTAAATCTTATTCTGAAATGAATTTCTTTTTCACAATCTTTTTTGAAAATTCAAAATCTTATTCTGAAATGAAATGGATCTACTTTACATAACTCTGAACACTACCCATACTTCCAACCATAACTGACTCTTAGGGAAGGGCTCTCCAAAGCAGTATTCCACAACGAAGTGCTGTGACTGTTTATCTGCCCTGCCTGAGCAGGCTCCTTCTACCTGCTAAAGGGAGAGATGCTAGAGCTCAGCTCCATGCCTCATAAGCCCTAATAAATCTGTGTACATATGGATCTGTCTTCAGTTCTCTGCTGGTGTAAAGAACATTTCATTCCACAGTGTTGTGTTTCTTAGTCTCTGGTCATGTGAATAGGTTTCATGCCTCCAATTCTAGCTCTGGTAACATTCTTCCTCTCCTCATCTCCACAACACAAAGTATCCTCAAGATCTCACCCACTTTCTCCTGCCAATTTGTCTCCTAGGAGGCCGTAGGTTTTCTGAGATGCACAATGGGACACAATCCTTAGACCTAGTAAGCACCAATGGGGCTGTGATCTTCCAAGGGAGCAGCCAGTCTCATGAGAAACAAGTCAAATGGGAGAAAGGTAAGTGGCTGCTGCAGTATTATGGAGGGCCAATTTATACCTAGGAATTTAAAAAGCAATGCCTGTTGCACTTCATTTACATCTTTCAAGCCTAGGACCAATTCCATTTTGAAGAAGCACTCAGGGCTACACTGCAGGGGTGAACAGGGCAGAAGGCAAAGTGGGGTGGAGACCAAAGGCAAACAGGGGTGGCCAAAAATATCACCATATTCTAGCTTAAATCTTTTATTGCCAGTAGCTAAGCCATGAGGAGAGGCATTTCAACCTTTTGGAATAGAGGCAGGTGCAAAAAGCCAGGAAACTACCAAATGATGGTTGGGAGAAAGGCAGTGTGGCCAAGGGAAAGGGTGTGTGGGCTTCTGGGATCCCTGGAGGGCCAGACTGGAACTCCTAGAGAGCTGAATTTGCCCCCTGGCCTGATATTCTGCACCCCTGATCTACAGAAATATTCAGAGCACTAAGGTCTTGGCAGACCTTGATAATGGTACAAGCCTAATTTGAGCCGGTGTCTACACCAGGAAACTTGGAAATGAGGTGGGAGATAGCTGCTCCCCAATGCTATCGCAAAATCTGCTAGCAAAGGTGAGCTGCGCTGGTTGCAACAACTCTAAGCAGTTCCATATATGAGAACTGAACTGTGAGACAGGAACATCCTGACTCACAGCATGCTCATTATTCTTTCTACTAATCAGTAGGAGAAAGGCTGTAGTGGAGCTGTCATGTTGGTTAAAGTGGCGGCTTTTATCCAGGGTATGCTGCTGCTTAAATGTTTCTGAAAACAAGGGCAGGAGAACACATGCTTATCAAATGTAGGTTCTATCAGGTGTACCCGTTTTCTGCAAAGACTACTCCTGTCTTAGCTACTACTGTTGCTATATTTATATATCTCCTCTTGCAAGGAACCCAAGAAATCTTATATTCCACATCTTGCAAGGACCCCAAGAATGCTTACAAGTTCCTCCTCCTCTCCATTTTATCCTCACAACAGCAAGGCTTGAGAGTGCATGACTGGCCCATAGTCACCAAGTGAACTTTCTGGCTTGGTGGGGACTAGAACCCACACCTCCTAAGCCCCACTCCAACAGCAGAACCACAACACCACACTGGTTCTCCACTAAAATAGCCATCATATGCCAAGATTATACGCCATACTCCTTGACCAGGGAAATCAGATGGCAAGAAATGGTTGCTACATATGGCACAGATACAGTTCTCTAACCTGTCCCCTCTTATTCACAGATGACTCTTCCAGTGGAGACGTGACCTTGATATTCCTGGTGCTGCTGCCCTTAGTGGGCATCATTTTGTTTGTTGCTGTGCTAGTGTTCTGGAAGAAAAAGAATAAGTTCTAATTTTGGTGTAAGAAATGCATAAATAAATTGATCAATGCTATGTTTTCTAATATGCCTCTTGCCATGGTATGCCAGTTGTTTCATTAACTAACTAGTGGATTTGCTCCAAGCTATCTCTTCCAGATACATTGTGCATCTCCACACTGCCTACTGCTATAAATGCAGAAGGGCCACCTCTGGTAATAAAATCAGGCATGGTTCCTCAAAGTGTGCACTCTTCAAAAGCATGCACAGAAATACTTTCACCTTCAAAACGCACATTTTTCCTATTAAAATATACCAAAACAACAGATGGCAAATATGCAGCAAGCCAAACTGAGCTTCAGGGTGAGAATTCTGGCAAGCTCAGACATTCCTGGTTCTTACCATTCCTACTTTGAGAAATCTGGATGGCTAAACCATGCAATCATGGTTGGGTACTACAGAAGCAAGGGCTTCTATTTTGTTTTTAGTTTAATTATTTATGTAACCTGCATTTCTGTCAAGTTGGCTAACTATAGTAAAATAAAGCATCGACTAAAATATAATGTAAAAGCAAATCCATTGAAGACACAAGTTAAAAGACAACAATAAAGAAAATTGGTACCCAACTAGTTCAAAAAAGCAGCACCTGGCTTATGTGCCAATGGCCTTCCAAAATAAAAATGTATTTGTCTGTTGGCAGAAAGGAAAAAAGGCATGTGAGTGTCCATTTTGAAAGACTTCACCAAATGTTTCTGTGGTGGTGGAACAGAAAAGTATTCAGTTCCATGTGGAATGTTTTCAGTAGTTTGACATCACTATTTAGGGTATAGGAGGACTGAAATGCAAAGCTAAAACTTAATCCACAAGGGTCTGTTATTAGATAACTAAAGCTGCAGTCTGGTACACGTTTATGTGGCAGTTCCTCAACTCCATGTGATTAAATTCTTCTGTACCTCTCATAGATTTCAGTAGCATTGTGTTGTAATGTAGCTTTAGAAGTAACAGTTGGTTCTAAAGTTGTATTGACGTACAGGAGTTGTGATGAATTCCTTGCTCCCAGACTTTCTTGTATATTTAAGTTAGTCAGGGTTTTATCTGTAGGCTTGTTATTGTCTCTGTACTAGTGGACTGCAGCTGCTTCCTGTATGAAAAATCAGAAGGTTATATAACCCAAGCTGCTCTTTTATTCTGCAATGTATCTTGACCTGTGCTTGAAGCATGACATGACTGTCACTCTGCCAACCTCTTGGACTCTCTTGGATAAACCCACACTTGATCCCCCATACACTTGGGGCAAACCTCATCCCACCGCCCAGAACTTTTGCCATTGGTAAATAGGAGGAAGGAATATGTACTGATGAAAGTTTGGGTGGTCCTTGTTCTGGTTACTGTCCCTCAGTGTATTAGCAGCTTGAAGCAGCAATGGTCTTAGAGCACTTCCTTTCAGCAGATGGCCTCACAGTGCTCCATAAGAGCATGGATTCTCAACTAAGGATGGATTTCCCCAAGCAGCCTACAAATCAAAATACTAGAGAGCAATCCTGTGCCCTCTGGACACTGCCTGAGGATCCTGGGGTTTTCCAGTTGAAAACAGGTTCCAAGTGCGGAAGGGGAGATCTGAACCCCAAACCCCCCACAGTAACCTCAGAAAGAATTATGGCACCCACCCACCAAGATTGGCAGGGGGGGAAGGAGACTGGAAAAGCCAGGATATGAGCCATCCTATTCTTCCAATCTCCATCCCTACCACTCTTAAGAACTGTCACTAGAAGAGCAAAAAGCCCATCCAAGGAAGGAAACTAGCACAGGAAGATGGTCGCTTCTGTTGGTCATCTTGCCCTGCACTGAATGACCAAAAGCCTCTGAGCAGGAGGACCTCTGATAACGGAGGGTGCATTCAGTAAGATGCTTTGGGATTTTGGTTCTGTGGCACTGACACCTGGTGCATTTTATATTGTAGCCAAGATCTGATGCACAAGGCTGCACATCATGCTAGTGTTTCCACAGATGCACTCACTGGTATTTCTGTAGGAGGAAGGGTGGGGAGAACTTGTCTCTCCTCATGCTCACACCTATAACGGTGCCTTCCTGTGCATGGAGAAATGACAAACAGGTGGGATGGGGGTTCCAGGACAGTGAAGTGTACCTTTGGATCCCACCACCTCCAGAACAAAGTCTCACTGAATGGGGTGTTGCCTCATGTTGCAGTAAGTGATGAAGTAAAGACAATGTAATGGCTGTACTGATATGGCTTTCAGTGCTGTTTTTGTATGTGTTAGTTGATTGGAAGTTTGTGTGGGAAGCCTTGTTACTACAATGAGATCTCTGGTCTGACTAGGACTGGTCACCCTAGATTAGACAACTTTGGGTCACAGCATCATCTATGAAGGCAACATTTCCTATGAATTGAAGCAGGTTACTTACTCTGCCAAACCAGACAATACTGACAGATGAACAACAGCCCATACTGTTAGCCATTATACTTCCAGCATTGCCTCAAATGTGCAATTCAAACACTTGTGAGTTTGGGACCAACAGGGGTTATAACAGGCTAGAAATATACTGGGGGCACCACACAAAAATGAGTATTGACAGTAAGGTTGTCTTTTTATCTGGCAGGCCCTTTATCCTTCAGAGAAACAAATGTCGCACATGCAGCATTCCTCTGTAAACAGCAACTCGCATTCCATTTCTGCCTTTTAATGTACAGCAGCCCTACTCCCCTTCTCCACAAGTTAGGAAATTCACAAGTCATAAACATTGGCCAGGAAAATTATACTTCTCTGGCCCTGGCCTGGATGGGACACACATTTTCTGAGAGAGATGCTTGCAGGACACCTGCCAGCTGAAGACAAAATTCTGAGTTTTCTATTTTGAGTTTGGTTTCACTTGAGTTTATTCACTGCTCTGTGCATGCGTGTGTGTGATGTAACATATGCAAGTTCACTGTTCCATATGTGTAGAAGATTGAAACATATAAACAAGAGACCACGTGACAGATATGATGAACTCGGGAGAGCAGATACTTTCTTTTCTGCTTGAGTCTTGCACTTTTGACATGACCCCAGGGATGTTCCAGCATCTGTTCCAGGTGCAAAGATGCTCATCTTATCAGTATCACCAACCCCGCCCTGATTAGCAAATCTAGTTCCTGGGTGCTGGTTGTTAATGCCTAAACTACCAGTATTATTTTTAGTCACTTAAAAAATGCTGTACACTGGAGCCGAGTCTGGGTTGTGGTTATTGGATAGCCTTAGCACAGTTGCTCCTTGTTCATGTGTCCTATGGAGAGTGTGATATTATGCATTTTTAAGTTTTCCCATTTTGCTGCACAGATATTGTGATGGGTATAGCATGTTGTTATTGGTGATGCCAAAGCCAGGCCTTCCTGTCCACTTGAAAACTAGAAAAACACCTACTCAAAATTGTGGGTCTCAAATTGATACATAATTTAGAAGTGCCAACATCTTGAATCTCCTGATTAACTCTCCCCATCCGTGCCTTCCTCAGCTCTGAAGACTATAACCACTTATAGTGCCAGAGAAAATGGGCACCATTCTGATTGAATAATGGAATCTCCTCCACAGTCTGGGGGAAAATACAGGAAGTCCCTGAGTTACAACCCGTACTTATTTGCAGTTTTTCCACTTTCACAGGGGACCTGTGCCCCTAACCCCCATGATTGTGGAAGGCCAGCTATATGTGATCCAACATATAAATTTGACTTAAAGATGAATTTGTTTTCTCAGGGCGAAGACTTGTCTGTAACTGGGGGACTGCCTGTACTACATCAGCTAAGAATTTCCATATAGCCCCTACCATTTCTTCTTTCTGTCCAGTATTGCCGAGTAGCGCTTATTAGATAGCATGAGAGAACTAGCAACTATGAGTCACATTCTGTAAATATAGAAGTACCCAATTGCCATTGTTGAAGTTCCCACCCCAAGCTGAAAACAGTATGTGGGAAAACTTCTCCCACCTGAATGCTTTTCCTATTACTACAGATTCATTCTCCCTCAATCAGCTTCTGTGGTACAACAGTTAAATTCAGGATATGCAGTTATTTCAGGCTGCTGTTATTGCTTTTCAATGGTAAGAGTGCTCTCTGCAATGTACTTTATACTGAATTTCTACAAAAGGTGAGAGGCTTGTTTTTGACTCTTCTAATCAGAAAATTGACATGTCACTTTTCTCAGTAGTATACAACTTCCATTTTGGCCATGCATGATTCCCTCCATTTATTACACCAGTATCTTGAACTACAGCTATTTACATTTAAGCTCAGAATTTCTCTTTAATTCCTTAAAATGGATACCTGCCCCAGTGAGGCCCCAAATTCTTTTATGCATTATAAAATACGAGACATGAAGCTGTGGTGACAGTTTTAGCAAATAGAACAGCAATGCACAAATGTTTCAAATCATTACATCGATGGCATTCAAAACCACAAAGAAACCTATAGTTGAATATTCTTTTTTAATGAAACTAGAGAGCTGCATACAAAAACTTGCACATCTCCCCATCCCTTTCTCCATCCTCATTCCTGCCACCACCCTTCACTAAATGGTCAGCATTGGATGGGTTTGGCTCTATATTGTTACAATTACAGCACAGACAAAGCTGGAATAGAACAAACATGGAAGAGGAAAAACAAATCCACTTAGCACAGGGCTCAGTGTTCCCATTCTACAGGCAGCTTGAACTGAGATAAAAAGCTATGATGTACTCTATTTCCCACCCATTCTCCACCCACCCACATGACCCATAGTTGCCCCAATATCTTAGCACTACAACAAAGAGCAGGCTCTTCCCTTGATATCCTGGAAGCAGAGGCTACAGGCTGTAGAATTTCAGGCTTCTGTCCATGCCGGTTGAAGCCAGGAACTTAGCATGATGCCCAAAAGCTACTCCTGTTGTCAGGCCACTATGCTCTGTAGGAAGGAAATGGGAGAGTCAGGTAAGATGTTCTTTCATTGGACGTTTTGTTACCTCGGAAAAGCCTAGACCCAGTACAGAGGCCAGGCACTGGTACAAAA